GGCGTTCACGCCGGCCGCTGGCTATGATCCCGATCAGGCGGCCTTCATGCGTGATCAGGTCGGCATCGACCTGGACGGCTTCCCCCTCGACCACGAGTTCCCAGAGGACTATGGGCTAGAGTAAGAGGACGAGTATGACATCGAAGTGGAGCCTTTGTTCGAGGACGAGCTCGCCAACCAAGCCGCCGGTCCTAAGCCGAAGCGCAAGAGCAAGCGCACGAAGGCGTACACAGCTGCCGAGAACAAGCTTCTTTGCGAGTGTTGGCGAGACATTGGACAAGACCCAAAGACGGGCGCCGAGCAAAAGCATTCGACCTTTTGGACTCGTGTGCACCAAGAGTTTCATGAGCGCAAGAAGTTTCCACCTTACCAATTTGTCAGCATGCGCGGGTGGGTCTCCATTTCCAAGCGGTGGAGGATGATCCAACAAGAGTGCAACAAGTTTTGCGCCACCCTTGAGAGCGTCAAGGCCCGCCCCGTGAGCGGCATCGGCATGCAATACATGGTATGATAGCAAGCAAGCCGCCCTCTTTTGTGTCATCAAGATCATCCTTTTACGTTTTCATTTGCTACCATTTGCCCATATGCTTGCATGGAAACATTTTGTAGGCATTTCAAGCTTTGGAGGCATTCAAGGTTCAACACAATGGCAAGTGCTTCAACCTCTCCCATTGCTATCGGGTCATCAAGGATGAAGAGAAGTTCAAGGCACAATATGCCGCACTCAAGGCACGTGGGGGGAAGAAAGCCGTGGAGGATGTTGGGGAGGGCGAGCCAGCACGGCCGCGGGGGAAGACCAACTCCAAGAAGGAGGACAAGCGAGATGCGGCCACCAACGCCTTGATCGCAAGCATGGACGGTATGATGAATAAGAAGGACTCAAGGGAGCAGGAGCGCCGGCGTTTCAAGGCGGAGCAAATGGATGCTTTCATGGAGATCCAAAGGAGGAGGCTTGATCTTGACACTGAGAAGCAAGCCAAGATGTTCGAGCTCGAGGCGGAGAAGCAAGCCAAGATGCTAGAGATCGAGGCCGCCAACGCCAAGACCAAGGCGAAAGAAGTGGCTCTTGCGAGCATGATGACCGGGGTGGAGATCATGAAGGTGGATCTCAACACCGTGTCGCCAAGGAAGAGGTCCTGGTTCGAGAAGATGCAGGCCGACATGCTCAAGTTCGACGATGAGTGATCTATGTCGGCGAGGGCCATCTTTTTTGTATGCCAGCAGGTGTGCCGGCATGACCACGGGAGCCGTGATGGCGTGGTCGAACTCAAGTCCCATCCTTTTTTATGTGCTGGCATGTGAGCCAGCCAGCTGGCGAGTGCGCCAGCATGAACTATGGTGATATTTTCTGAAGCTGGCATTGTATGCCGGCGCTGGCATGGTGCCGGCATGAGACATGGCCGCTGGCATGATCGGCCGCGGGCCCTTTTTATTTAAAAGTTGAATGCGGGCATGAATTGGGTCGGCGCGTTGGGCGCACTGCCGACCCATATGCAAAACTGGGCGGACGCTGGGCGGGCAGCCGACCAAAACGTACAAAAGGCGGACAAATGTGCCGTCCGTTTGGGTCGGCCCGTTGGAGTTGCTCTTATCCATTCCCTTTATCTTCTCTTTCCGTCTCACACATTGCACATGATGGTTGCGGAGGGCTGTGCCAGCTGCCAGAGGAAGGTTAGGCCGGAGAGCTCCAAAGCCATGGCGGTTTTACTCAATAATAATGTGAGGGTGCTCCTCCATTGAGCTAGCAGGGCCGAGCACCCGCTGCTGTTGCAATCACGCCCCAACCCCGATGCTGCCATGACAGGCTCGCAACGGAGGCTCCAAGGCAGGTTGTTGTTGTGAAGCTGCAAGGAGGGGTCGGCTTACGCACGCGCCTGCTGGTCGTGGTCAGCATCGCCCGTCCTCGACAGGCAATGCTGGCTGCTACGCGTCCGACGACACACCAGGACCTGAACCAGGTGCGGTCGTATGCCGAGGAGTGGTTGTATCATCGACCTCATCCGTGTCGCCACGACCATCCCAGGGGCACCTCCATGTTGCAATTTCAATGAGTGAGTTGCAAACGACGAGGGCGAATGACCACGGGGCTGCTGTGATATGTGTCGGCAAGGAGGCAGCGTTTCTATTGAAAACAAATTGTGCAACATCATCAATGTTGCAGAAGTTTCTTCTGTAACATCAGTTATATGTTAGTACAAAAGATGAAGATGTTACAGAAATATGAAGAATAAAAATTCTGCAACAAGACCTCAGTTGTAATTTTTCTGCTACAAGACCTGTGTTGCAATGATGAAGGAAGTCAGATCTGAGGGCTTGCGAGGCCGCCAATCTTTTAAAAAGATCAGCGGGCGAAGCGTAGCACGTCCTAAAAATATATATACTTATCTCTACTACCTAAAAGAACCGTAAGGTTCCGTCTCCCCTCTTACGTCGTTAGTTTCGTCAAGCCTCCCGCACCCGTGCGATTGATTTTTTTTTATTCACGTCCTCCTCACGTTGGTTTTTTATGGAAACCACTCATAGAAAACCGACGCCAATTGATTCCCATGCCTTATCCCACTGATCTGGCCGCCGCCACAAGCTCCCCGATCTGGCGAACGACAGGAGGACGCGCGCTCCCCGTCATCGTTGTGCGACACCCAAGGATTCGCCGCTGCCGCACGGAGCTATTTTGCAGCGTCGAGGAGGGCGTGGGCGAGAGTTCATGCCTTCCCGAGGCTGACATCGCCGGGCTCGTATCGTCACGCGGACATGGAGTCGATGCGGCAGCCTGCCAAGCCCTGTTCTTCTCCCTCCCCTTCCCAGTTCATGCTCCCCTGCCTCTTCCCCCATTCTTGAGGTCAATCTCGTGATGACTCCTGATTTCTGAACATATATGTTGCTTGTTGTGATGCAGCTTGTAGGTCGTTGAGGTGGGGTGTGGCAACTCGCAATACGACAAGAAGCTACTGTGGTAGGGCGTCGATGGCGACGACATCACCTGCATCAACCTCTACGTGATCAACATCCAGCTTATTTTCACTTGGGAGTAGGTGCTGCTGATGCCATTTGAATTTCCGAGCAATCTCGCCCTTTGCAGGTTCGTCTACCCATGTCACTATCCCCCACAACAAATGACAACTCGGTAACAAGCATCGCTGAGAAAAGAAACTGGGATACCATGTTAACCAAAGTGCGACAGTTCTTATGGAGGCTAAACCATAATTGTTTCCCTTTGAGACTCTCCCTGAAGCGTACAGGAATATTGTGACATGATGTGTGTGTGTGTGTGTGTGTGTGTGTGTGTTTGAGTCTCACCTATTTGTCTTATACTCCCCTAGGGTGCTGTCTGGTACTGATTCTACAGATAAGTCACTCTTCATACTTGTGCTTGCTGAATTTGGTAGGTAAGAGGAGACATCCGACCAGGTTCCAATGTCGTTGGCATGGTTGACAGTACAATCTTGAAACATGTTTACGAAAGAACGAAAGTACCAAATGACGTTTTCATACACGATCTTTCACATTTACTTTCTCTCCTTTTTTATTGGAATCTTCAGTAACTGTTCATGTACTGCAGGAATGCAGGAAAGATCATCTGGAAAATGGACCACTTCAACTGCATTTTTTTAGGACGTACTGTCTACTGGAATTTCTTTTCTGATAATGGCATTGAATAGTTCATAGTTTTGGTGGCCTCTTGATTCATGTCATTAGTAGTTATTTCGACAGACAAATGATGGTTTTCAGTATAAACTTTTCAAAAACCCAAAATCCCTTACACTGGTCAATCTTTGAAAATTGAGAAAAAAATCGGAGTGGGTTTCTCTGTTTTAACTCTTTCTCTGGTGTTTTTGAAACTACGACGAAAAAGGAGTAACCATTCTAAATCCTCTGGTGTTTTCGAAAGGTTTTCTATGTAAAAGGATCACAGGGTTACTAAGTACTATTATTTAGTTCTGGATATTCCAGGATCTAACTTCCTTCACTGCATTTATATACACTTCGTATCTTTTTAATAATTTGCAAGGATGATTTTAGGCATAAGAATTCATTATTGACAGTGATGCCACATAAATGTCATGTACAAGATTAGTCCTCGAGTATTCACCAAATGCCTCTGCCAAGGTAAACAAAGTGTGAGAGCTCGGTCATGAAAAGCTTGGATTATTATTCTATTATCCTTTAGTGATGGTGTTTTGGATCATGAGAAGTCCATGCTTAATCCTGACGTCGGATGCAAAACAAGATATTCTATTATTCTTTAGTGACGGTGTCTTGAGTAGTCCATGCTTATTCCTGACGTCGGATGAAAACAAGATAGTTCAGTCATGTGCATTATTTCTTGCATGAGTAGTTCAATTCTTTGTGAAAGCAAATGTACTTTATCACTTAGCTTCTTATCTCAGATTCCACTCAAATTTCTGATCATTATTTCATTATATGTTAGATTTTATTTCTTGCAATAAATTTTGTGAATGGGGGAGAGTAGAGTTGCATAGTCAAAAGAAGCTTTGCAATCTTGTAACCTGCTTAAAATAATTTGAAAATCATGTAACACAGTAGTAAATTTGGATCAATCTTGGGTAACCTGATATATTCACCCTTGCGATTCATTTTTTTTCTTCACGTCCTGCTCACATTGGTTTTCCATTAAAATCACTCCTAGAAAACCAACCCCAATTGATTCCCCTGCCTTATGTGTGCCCCGTGCGTAATTCACCTAGTACTGTCAAAAAAAGCTTTGTCGAAAAGAATATGTACTTGGTGAGGATAACACGTTTTCGTGTTCGGCTGGAACTCGGGACACTGCAGATCGATTTGATTCAGAGGGAGATCCAGTCGGAGAGCGAGCAATCCGGGTTCCGGAGGGAGCGGCAGATCGATTTGTCGCCGATTCTGATTTCGATTCCCCCGATCCGGATCTACTCCTAGTATACTAGTAGTAGCTTATTTAAGGAGGAGATCCCGTTGTCTCTTCGACCCCGCCGGCGATCGAGAGGAGAGGAGGGGAGGTCGAGATGGAGATGTCGACGAGCTTCCCGCTGCCTTGTCTCGCCATGGTGCACGGCGTAGGCGCCGAACACCAACAACCCACGGCGACGACGCTGTTCAGTCTCGCCGGCGCGAGGCCCCTCGCCGGAGTCGCCCTTGAGGAGGAGCTGAAGAACAAATCAGTCTGCCCCACGCCGCAGGGGTGGGTGCTAGTCCAGCACCGAGACGCCGCCGCCGCCGCCGCCACCTACCTGCTGGATCCGCGCAGCAGCCAAAGGATCGACCTGCCGCATCTCGCAATCCAGCAGGGCCTGATCCCCTACTGCAGCTGCCTGCTCGCCGGCGACCCCACGGCCCCGGGGTGCCCAGTGCTAGTGGTGGAGCCCATGGCCACCTTGCTATGGTGCTGCCGCGTCGGCGACGGCGAGTGGACCAGGCACGACTACGACATCGGGACCCTGGGAGACGAGCACTTCGTCGAGAAGAGGGTCATCGCGCCCATCGCCGCGTGCCGGGGCAGGTTCTATTTCAACGCCGTGCCCGCCGAGACGCGCGTGCTGGAGCTGGCTCGCCCAGGGTCGGGGGCGCCGGCGTTTAGCTCGGTCGCGACGGAGCCCGCGGAGGCCGACAGGTTCGGGCGGGCGAGGGTGTTCATGGTGGGGACGGACGACGACGAGCTGTACAAGGTCGTGCTGCTGCATCACGGAGGGTCCTACGACGAGGCCAGGGTCCTCAAGATGGACTTGTCGGAGCGCCGGTGGCGCCCCGTCGAGGACCTCTGCGGCCGCGCCTTCTTCGTCGCCCCCATGTACTTTGGCGCGTCGTGTGCGCCCACCGGCGGCCGGGTCCGGCAGGACTGCATCTACTCGTTGGTTGGAGTGGCCAGGAACACTTTCAGGGTCTTCAGTCTGAAAGATGGGACTTCAGAAGTGCGCCAACTCGAAGAAGAAGAAGAAGAGCAACCTGCGCCGGAAACAGTCGGAAAATCGAGACCATGTTGGGTGCTTCCAACCCATCCAACATCGTAGTAGCAAGATGTTACTCCCTCCGTCCGAAAATACTTGTCATCAAAATGGACAAAAAGAGATGTATCTAGAACTAAAATACATCTAGATACATCTCCTTTTATTCATTTTGATGACAAGTATTTTCGGACGGAGGGAGTACTATTTAGCAGCGAAACATCTCTTTTTCTGTCAATGTTGCTTGTTGTGGCATGTAGTAACTTTCATACTCCTATGTACTATGAGTTTCGTTGCTCGATCATGCTAAAGTCTTTGGTTTTATGAATTGCTAGCAAGATGCCTGTGTGCTGTATGGAACGTATAAGTAGTATAAGTAGTTTATCTTATGAGAAAAAAGGACGAATGAGGAAAGGTCTTTTTTGCAAATATGGAGAAGATGTGAGTATTTTTTTTGTAAAATTATCATAATTTTCTTCCTATCCGTCAGATATAAATCGGACGGCTTATATTGCAGTATGGTACGCACACCATCATCAACAACTCTGTTTTTTTTATAAGAGTAAAAATACATCAAGGATAGTGGCACCTTAATGATTTTAGCATGGAAGAAAAGAAAATTGCTAAACAAGTAATCATTAGGTCTTGATTTCTGAATTAATTAAATGATAACCAAGCAGTAAGCAATCGGAGTATTTGCTTAGCAATTTTCTTTTTTTCCAACACCCCCTCCCCCTCATCAAGAAAAGAAACCGCACGTCTTCCTCATCAACAACAAAAACTAATATTTCTCCCGTAAACCGGAGACAAACATGGGAAGGTCTGCGAGAGTCCGGACCGATCCTACACCCGCTTCTGACCGCCCTGGCCCACCAAAACCCCTCTCCTTTCGCCCATGCGCGTTCCCGCCCGACGCCAGCTGCCCGCATTCATGCCACTGTAGAGCGCGCCGCTCAATATTGAAGACGCCTCTAGGCGGACGCGACCTCTCAGTACCTCTGCCATTGAAGCAGCACACCGGTCTAGGGTGACGCCCGCTACGTGTCTCCGGTGTCCGCGCCTGTTCAATGCCGGAGACGCGTGACTGGACGGGACGGGACAGATATCTACCACGTTCGTTCAATGTCGTTGTCCGTCTGTATCATGCCATTAAGCAGGCTCGCCCGCCGAGAAACCCCGCGCATTGATGCACCCAGACGCCTTGCCTCATCAGAATCCTCTTGTAACACCCGGATAATTAAGCTACAGTGATCCCATGCTAATGGTGCCACGTCACCACGGTTACTGCTGCTAATTTATCGTTAGAACAAAAACCGGTCCTAAATTCAAATTCAAATTAATGATAACAATAAAAGTTTTCAAAAATTAAAATAAAAATGTTTGGTTTGTACTAAATATTACAAATGTAATTATGGTGCAACAAACCCATTTTTATAAAATGTCTAAATAATTTAAAATGAGTTAAAACAGAAAATAAAATAAATAAAAGAAAAGAGATAAAACAGAAAAACAAAAGATAAAAAAATAGAAGAGAAACCCCCCGGGCTTCGG